GGGGGGGGGGGGGGGAGAAGATGAAGAAAAGAAGGGTAGGAAAGAACATGTAGAAAGAAAGCAATTAAATAGAAAATGAAGAAATAAAAAATAATAGTTCTAATGATATTCTGATACAAACAGGTCTTTATTTTTAAATAAGTTTTTCCATATATCATCATATACTTCTGTGAAAATACTACTTCTTAGCATCGTACTTACCCAGTACCAGTGAAAATGTGACTTGGTATTGGTTACCTAACAGATACCTGACTTACCGACATTTGTTTTACAGTGCAGCACAAAGTGAGGTCTGAGCTTTCCTAGCAGCCTCTGCATCCAGAGTTCCTCTACTGAGATCTTGTGTGTCTATGTGGATGAGGAAAGATTCTGCTTCCCTTGAATCTCACATTAAAGCAGGTAAGTGGCTGGAGGCATGTGACTGCAAATCTGAAGTACTGTTCAAATTGAAGGCTTTTTTTTTTTTTTTTAAGGAAAAATTAAAAGCTGAGGTAAAGTAAAATTAAAGCTGAAAAAAGTTTTAACTGGAGTATCAACTTTTCTGACAAGTGAAACAGAACAGGAAGAAAACCACAAAAGCAGCAGCAGATTCTTCATGCTATTAAAAGCAAATGTCTACTCTGTTAGAATTATTTAAGCCACATCCATGAACAGGGAGGTGTATTTACTTACATGTTTGTTGTGAGATAAAATGCAAACAGATAATAGTGTTCTGGCCCTAGAACAAACATGAAAGCAGCAGCTACTCCTTCAAAGTAAAAGGAAAACAAGATGATTCTGTAATAACCAAATTTCTTCAATGAAGCTTGACTGAGAAGAACAAGGCACTAAAAGATAAAAAATACATGTATATATATGATGAAAATATATAGTACAATGTATCAGCATTAGGAGAGCTAGAAAACACAGACCAGTCATAAATTATTACTACCCATTGAAGGAGGAAAAAAAAAAAAATCAACAAAACCCCCAACCCTTTCTAAAAAGTTCAATCCAAATAAAAAAATAGAAATTGAACAGAGAACTATCTACTGGGTCATTCTGTGCTACCTCTCAAGGTAAGAAGTTTCACTCAGAACTAGCCAGCTGAGAACTACTTTATCCTGAGGAAAACAGTTACCCACATTGCCTAACGATTAGTTAGTGCTCATGATCTTTATGTTTGATATCCCTTAAATAATTAAATTTGCAGTATGTTAACTGTAAACCAAGCATCTTGCCATTTGAATTTTAACTGCTAATCTAAAATGGTTTTGATTTTTTTTGTTTTTTCATTTTTTCACAGCTGATCTAAGCAAGTTAGAGGCTTTACTAGCAAGCAAAGAAAGTCAGATGCCAGTGGACAACATGTATGGCTGCATTTTAATTCCACCAGTCTTAGCAAGCAGTAATCCGTGTGAGAAGCTAGTGACAGGCAAACTCGTGAAAATGGTATTAAATGCTGATTATAGGATGAACAAAGTGTAATATTTTGTAGACTGTTCCTCACTTCCCACTTTAAATAGGACATTTTGTAATGCATTATGTTCTTTTTATTTTACGAGCTATGTCACCATCTACATGTATGTGGTACTCATCACTCTCACAAAAAATACAAACTCTACAGAGACACATATTGCCTCCTCCCTTCTATGAAACAGAGATGAGCAGTGTAATACTCAGATGAAGAACAGGAAAACTTCTCCTTGTACATTTATTTATTCCCACATTTAAATGCTTTAACATAACAAATAAAGCCAGGATGCTACAGTCAAAGACTACCATGGCAAATCCTATTTAAAGAAAATCCAGTTTTAGACTTAAGCCAATGCTCAGAGAGGTAAAACAAATCTGGAAAGTTGGTGTAAGAAAAAACTCTGGTTATAAGAAACTTAAACATCCTTCTGGCTGTTTTCAGGCATTCTGCAGAAAAATTGCTTACACTGGAAATGGTAAAGGATAATGTAATGCCTGTTATTGTAAAAACCATGACCTTGTCTCCCTATAATTGAGAAATAACCCTGTCTCAGGAAGTACTTATGATTTTAAAAATTCCTTATTACCTGCATGTTTCTAAAACTGCATATTTCTAAGAAAAATACTAACTTAGTGATGCAAACTCAAATTTGCCTATGTTTCAGCAACAAGGTTTGTCTTGTAGGCAGGTTTTATTCTTCACACCCACTACTAAGAGGAACCTAAGACAGAAGCGTTTAGTTTAGTAACAAGCCACTGAAGCACAGTTCATAAGAAGGGGCTTTATTTTACATGGGTTGGGTGCTTTTCCGGTAAGTGAAGTTCAGGACATTGCCACCAGAGAATTCTCTTGTTGTATCTTGAGCTCAAAGGGACAAAACCTGAGAAAAATAAGGTCACAGCAAACTCTCTACGGTTCAGTGACCTTCTAGACAAAGAGGCTCTGGGGAGCAGAAAGAGATGCATTTTCTGAAAGATTGTTCGTTTCACACTGTCACACTGATTTTATCAACAAAAGTGATTGCTATATACTGAGTGTAAAATTATTGAAGCTTTCCTAACTTTTGTAGTTTCTGATTTATTTCTAAAGTTCATCAGCTGTTTGAGCTACAGAAAAAACAACCAACTGTTAAACCTGTGTTAAGGATAAAAGTTGAAATGATAGATATTTAGGATTTATGGAACAGAGAAGGTACGTTTAGCATTTGTATGTTATATATGCAAAAGCCAAAACAGTAACTGAAATTGAGCTGTGAATTCCAGATGAACTTTCATGTGGTTTTTTTTTTTACATATTACTTACTGAAAGGCATTACAATTTAATGAACATAACATTCTGATTTTCAGAAATTCTGAACCCCATCATCACCTATGACAAAACTCAGAATACTCAAAATCCTGACTTTCATCATCCAGTAAGTAAACACAGTGAAAGTTTTAAAAAATCCAGTGAAAGAAGTTAGAAGGGAACAAACAGGAGAATTTTTTTATTCACTGCAGACAAGTATGTTTACATTCTGTGGGACATATTTTTGCTGCTTTTCTTGTTTTCACACATTACTTATTTGGGTTCTCGCTTCTCTCTTCCAGTTCATTACTCCTCCCCCAACCCTGATTGGGATCTTGAAAGCATGTCTCTCTACCCTGTAAATGTAGATGACCAAGACAGCAAATGACAAAATAGATGGGAATGTATTATTCTCCAAAAGCAGCTATTTAGAGTTTTGTTTGGTTCCCATGACTGAGATACCACATAGTTCAACAATGCTTTTAATACCTAAGAAATTTTCTGGTGTTTCGTGCAGTTTATTTCGGAAATTTCCTGAAGAAGAGATTGTTCTCATCACGTATTGCAAATCAAAGTCAAAGAGAAAAGAATTCAGAATTCTATAGATTTTGCTTTTAGAAACTTTTTATCTTGACCATGGTTTTGGTCATGCTTTATATTTAGGTATTATAAACCCTGTAGGATACAAAACATTCACTCCTTGCATACTCACATCTCACATTCTTGTAAACAGAATCTGTACCAGCCTGCCTGCTTGTCCATTCTCACTACCTGACCCCTGTGTTTGGTTAGCTTGTACACAGAGGTACTTTCTTCTTCAGAGTATCAGTGAGCTAGATTTGTTTCAGTATGACCAATGGCTTATGCCGGATACAGAATTTTTTCAACAAACGGTGTAAATAGATACCTTAAACTAATGAAAACTAGTAACACCATGTTTTCATATTTTGAAATAAAAAAGGGTAACTGCCTACCTGAGGACAAATAAAGCCTGCTCCATACATGATACTTCTTATTGAGGAAGAAAGGGCATCCTTAGGAATAAGATTATCCGCAAAGATCATCATAAAATTGTTGCAGAAGGCTAGGTGGAAGACTTGGAAGAAGTTCATCGTTACAAAAATTAGGAAGTTTTTCTCTGTCATAATCTGTTTGGTCAATAAAAGTACCGAGGACCAGGAGAGAGCTCCATCACCATTTTCCAGATTAGCATTCTCTGTACAAACTGCTCTCTGCTCATATTGACTCGTACTATATTTGCCCGTGTAACACATACAAACTGTTGCTAATGCTGCGACCAAAACAGTGAAAGCCTGAAAATACGCAAAATTTTCCATATTATTTGATACGAGACCACAAAAGAGAATGCTTGTTGATCCGATTAATGTTGCTACTTGGTTATATTTAATAAGTTGAAGCCTACTTTCATGCCTTGTTGAAATTTCTGCAAAGAGCGCACATTGCGCTAGAAGCACAAATGTAAGCAAACCATCAAAAGCACATAACGCAACAATGAGGTGAAGACCACTTAGCCAGTCACCTTCTTCATAATGTTTCCAAGGAAACCAAGGAAGCAAAAAGGCCAACGCATATAAAGGAGCTCCATATAAAATTGAGAACTGGCGTCTTGAGCAGCACTTGAATTTGGAGTTATCTTGAATATAACCAAAAAGAGGATCATTAATGGCATTCCATATCATAAATACAACCTGCAACAAACAAGTAAGAAGCACAACAGAATTTATCTCAGTGTGATTTTTCTGCAGAGGTTACACAAACACAGAAGTAATAGACACCGTATTTATTTTAAATAAATCTCCATTCAAATAATGAAGATGAAAGCTTCACAGGTCAAAACAAACTCCAGACCAAATTCTTATAGGTATTCAGAAGTTTATAGTAATTTTGAAAAACAAGATGAATAAGTAGGCAGGTGCCCAGCCGCACATGAAATAAACCTCCGTCTCTAAGACTTCACTCCTTCAACAGCTTATGCATCTGGGCTTTCATCTTGGAAAGCCCAGATATTACCCTCACAGCAAGTAATTCAAAACATGAGCTGGCCCATTACTTTTAGGAGACCATTTATGACAAGAGTTGCTCACGTGGATAATGACTTGCAGAATAAAAGCAGTATTAAGTACTTAAACAGTCCATAGGAAAGCACTAATGTCAAACATATCTATGGAGCTGAGGTGCAAGATTAATTTAGAGTATTACTTCAAGCTATCAAAGGTAAAAATCTTCCCAGCAATTAAATTCTGAAGATTTTTAGTCTAAAGACTCTAAATGATGTGCCTTAAGTGTACCTTCAATTAATTATGGATTAACTAAATTTAAAATGCACTTGCTGTGTAACCACTTGCAGTGCATCCAAAATTAATTCATAAATTAAAAAAATGACTTTGTTGTGATAACACAGACACATAGCACAACACAGAAACCAAAACATTCCATTGTACAATACCTGTGCTTGATGAAATGCTACTTCTGAAATTTTGTATCGGTTTAGGAAAAGCTTAACATAGTAGAAATTAAAGATACTGTTCATCATTCCAGCACCTAATGTAGTCATGGAATATGCCAGCGCATTAGGATGAATTCCCAAACCAAATTTCATCTTCCACAAGTCTCTTCTTCCTCAAGTTACAAAAAAGAATTACAACAGTTGGTAGAATAATTTTCCAAATTAAAATTACATGGGAGATTTGCTTGTTTCAGAGGTGTGGAAATGAATTCTTAGAGGAAAAATTTCCCCATTCATAGTTCCTTTTTTTTAAATGAAAAATACAAGTTTACTGAGTTACAAGACACAAAGCACAAAATTGAACAGATGCAAAGTATTAAGAAGTTGGTGACATTTCTAAATATAATCAGTGCTTAAAAATCAAACAAACAGGTAGATAAAAATTGTAAAGACTCTATTCTTAACTGTTGCACAGATTCAATATAAAAATCTGCTATTGCAAACATCAGTCTTGGTGTAGAGTTCAAGTAATTGCATACATTTTACACCCTCCTGGGTAGCTACATAATTTTAAAATTACGGACTGTGTGGGAATGAAGTGACTCAATTTGTATCCTTCCATGTCCCATTGCTATGAATGTCAAATGCAGCATGCACTTACATGAATATTTCTTTCAAACAAATACCAAGTCTTGTCCTTCTATTTTTAAATGTTAATTGTTAACAAGCCATGGAAGCAATACTTTCAGCTAATAAACTAATGAAATATGAGTAGAAACCATAAACCAATCAAAACACTTTGTAATAGCTGAAAACATTTTCATTGTATGAAAGACTGCATGTAAATAAAAACTAGGAAGTAGCACATGTACAGCATTTAAAGTACATCCAAATAACAGAGATAGCCCAAGAATATAGAGTTCTTTAATATATCAAACAGATCTTCAGACAACAATTTTATAAGATACTGACTTTTTCCATCTATCTAGGAATTACCTTCATCATGTTTAGTATAAACTATCCCATGAAAAGAGCTAGCTTCGGGGAACATCTACCTTTTAAAGCAGAGTAATGACTACCTAAAGGTAGTCCTTGACCACATTTGATTCTATAAGCCCAAAAGAGAAAATACTTCTCCCAGGTATCTGTTTTTAACTGAGGCTTTACTCATCTTTAGATCTATTTGAAAGCAGCTGTCTGCCATTAATTTGGAGATATTTCAGGTTCAAATTTCAAGCCTTACTATGCGCATTAACTCCAGAGCTTTACAACCTGCTTTTTGTCAATAGTCCAAGTTTGCTCCTCGGCCTATTAACTATTTTATCCTAAATGAAACTTTCAAATATCCATCAAAATACTTAGTTTGAATATCTGCTCTTCAGTCTGATAAACAGATCTATAAGTAACTTCTTGAACTCCTTGTAAAAATAACCATGAAAGAAACAGGAAATGAAAACCAAGGCTGTTTCCAACCTTCCTGTGGTTTAACAAAGTGGCTGAAGACAGGCTGTTGTGAGAGGGGGTGGTAACTGCCTAATCACCAGGTGAGGGCCAGACAAAAGCAACACATCAGGTAGGCACCGAAGAGGTGTCTGTTCTGGCTAAGGCAGATGATGGAACAGCAGTTTTTCCACCCCCCAACAAAGAAAATGAACTCTTGAAGCGCAAATAAAATGTGGATGCATTTTTGTATATGTATTTAAGATGCTCTAATATGAAACAAGATGCATTGAGTAGATCACTTCACAGGTAGGAAAAAATATCAAGCTGACAACTTGGTTCAAGTCTTTTTCTAAAGCAAATTTATTTATAAGAACATGACTGGATTTTTAGATACTTGAGGATGATTGTGATGTATTTTTTAAGGGTTATTTTTTTTGAGAGCTACAGCTGTAGAGACAACCCCATTTTCAGGTGATGAAATTTTGTGTTTTTGTAACAAGTTTGGTTTCACAAACTTTTACTGAGAAACCTAAAATGAAGAATAAGGTTATTGAAAAGATGCCCATTTGAAATGTTGGGGGTTTTAAAATAAGTTCGATATTACTGTGGAAATCATTACAGTAAGCATGATATGGACAAGTGTCACTTTTTTTTTAAGTGTATGTTCAAGCCTTCACAAATACACTTAATGAAGTGATTTATGTAATAGGTATTAGGGCTTTTGGAAAGGTAGACATTTAATCTTTTTCTCCATGGAGGCCCCTGCATGGGTCTTCAAATGAAAACTGACTCTTTACCTCAAATTCCATGAGCACTGTGAATAAATCTGTTTCACACTAACATTACCAGCAAACTAACAGCCATTTCTCAAATCATGTTTGCCTTGGTGCCTTCCTACACACAAATTATAAAAAAGTCCCCTCAGCTTCATAAGATTTGGAAGCAAGAAGAAATTTGATTTTTTTTCAACAAAAACCACCTAACAAGGCACAAACAGGCCTCTTGCCATGACTAACTATAATATGCAGGACCTGACACAACTTTTTACACTAATTGGTACATCTGTCCCTGTACCTTGTTTATGAAACAGGTTCAATTAGAAGTTGAGGTACCACACTTCCTTTCCCAGAAGATGTGCTCTTTAATTGTACTACAATGAAATCATGCATGAGTATCCCCTCCCTCTTCTTAATAGTCAGCCTTTATATTGAATAGGTTAAAGCACAGGTGTTGACATTTTGTGACTCACAGAAGGCAAATCAGTTTCAGAAATTTCTAGTGGTTACAACAATGTTAATGCAGATGAGCCAAAGGAACAGACTGCTTAAACCAGTGAGACACACTATGACAGTACCTGCTTTTCTCCCAGAGCTGGGTAACAAACACTAAAAGAAACTAGAGCACGAGTCTAAAGAAGAAAGTGGATTCCCGAGCGATAATAAATGTTGACTGAAGCACACTAGCTCACATCACTCTGCTCTCCCGGGTCCCAGACTGCAGCCTAACGCTCCCAGTCCTGACAAACTGGTTGGACACAAGTATCTTCCTCATCTTTCTTCCATGACTTTGAGCCACATGAAGGCAGAACTAAGACTAAACGCTTTCCTAATCCCGAGGGGTAATACTAAGGGCAAACACTGCTGAAGCAGAGGGGAGATGCAAACAAAAGGCACTTGGAGCAGGAGGGCAAGTGGAACCGGTTGCGTGCCGCCGCTCTTTCCAGCCGCGATGCCACGGCTGCCCAGGCGCTGGGACCGCGGCTCCTGGGAGGCGGGGGACGCTAGAAACTTGCAGGACTAGAAGTTTGGAGGTGCTCGTCTGTTAAAACTAGGCAAATCAAGCCAGGTTCTCCTCAGCAGCTCCCCAGATACGGGACACGGTTCCCTCTGCCTTGTAAGGGAGGCGCGAGGGAGAAGTGACCGCCCGAGAGACACGCGAGGCGCGGGGCTGGAGACTCGCCGTTCTGAGGCACGACAGCAGCGGCCACGGCCGCCTGCTCCAGCGGGGCCACACTCTCCTCTCCTCCCCTTCTGCACTCCGGCGCCACAGCTCCCGCGGAGGCGGCGGGAACGCGACCCGCACCTGGGTGCGACGCCGGCGAGGGGCCGCGCCCCTCGCGCCAGGCTCTTCCCTCAGCGCTCCCCGCGGGCTCCCAACACAGGGCGACTGGGAG